CAGATCAGATGGTCTGGTATTCCCGTCTCTTTCAGAACTTTCCACAGTTTATTGTGATCCCCACAGTCAAAGGCTTTGGCATAGTCAATAAAACAGAAATAGTTGTTTTTTTGGAACTCTCTTGCTTTTTTGATGACCCAGCGGATGTTGGCAATTTGATCTCTGGTTCCTCTGCCATTTCTAAAACCAGCTTGAACATCTGGAAGTTCACGGTTCACATACTGCTGAAGCCTGGCTTGGAGAATGTGGAACATTACTTTACTAGCGTGTGAGATGAGTGCAACTGTGCGGTAGTTTGAGCATTCTTTGGCATTGCCTTTCTTTGGGATTGAAATGAAAAATGACCTTTTCCAGTCCTGGGGCCACTGCTGAGTTTTCTAAATTTGCTGGCATATGCTTTCTAATATGCAATACTTTTACAGCATCATCCTTTAGGATTTGAAATAGCTCAACTGGAATTCCATTACCTCCACTAGCTTTGTTCGTAGTGATGCTTTCTAAATATGCAATACTAGAACACAAATTTTAATGGAAACTAGCCAAATGGACTAGAAGGGATAAAATGCTATTTTGAGAAGTCAACATTATTTACATTTTTTTATACCCCACATGGGCTTCCCTGTGGCTCAGATGATAATCTGCCTGCAGTGCAGGAGACCTGGGTTTGATCTCTGGGTGGAGAAGATCTCCTGGAGAACGGATCTGTCTCCTCTGTCCATGGAATTCTCCAGGCAAAATACTTGCAGCTCTCCACTACAGTATTCTTCCACTATCCACTTCCATATACATCCACTAATTCCATAGAAAGAGGAGCCTGGTGGGTTACAGTCCATGGGGTCAGAAAGAATCGGACACAACTGACCAACTAACACACTCATACCTCATAAATCTAATGTTCAAACCCAATGATCTTCTCAAAAGTTACTGAAGTGTATAGGAATATTTTCAGAGCATTAGATGCAATGTTTTACTGGTCCCCCCTGTTCTACTGCTATTGTTTCTTCTCTCCAGTGACCGATGTTACTCCTCGAACACACTCAGACCTCGCTACCACCACCCACTACGTTTATATACCAAACTTGTGTCATTTTATATGTAGGTATTTTCATATAAAAACACGATTTTTCATGAGATTGAGAAAACATGATCCTTCTTTCTTGGAGTAAGGCTATATTCCTAAGGATATCATGGATCAACTAGAGAGGAATAATAAGAACATCATTTGTGTTCTTATCATCAGCTTCAATCATACATACTGAACTCAACAGTTACAAATGTGGGATATGCTGCTAGAAATTATAATATGTATAATCTTCAATAATGCAAGAACAAGAAGGAACAAATGAGCTAAATGATACTGCAAAAGAGATTTATGGAATTACTAAAGGATAACCCATTAGTAGACACTAGAAAGCACAAAAATATAATACTTATATGATCTTAAAGAGATAATTAAGGAATATCTGATACAGAGGGAATAAAATCTAAATCTGAACATCATGTACAGTTGCATATGTACTAAAGCAAGTTGCATATGATCCTAGGATTAAATGTAAACGTTAATATGAAGTGAACTGAAGTGAAAGTCGCCCAGTTGTGTCTGACTCTTTGCAACCCAGGCCAGAATTCTCCAAGCCAGAATACTAGAGTGGGTGGCCGTTCCCTTATCCAGGGGATCTTCCCAACCCAGAGATCAAACCCAGGTCTCCCACATTGCAGGCGGAGTCTTTACCAGTTGAGCCACAAGAGAAGTCCAAACATTAACAAAGAGGAATACTAAAAGAAAGTGAACATGGGAAATTAGCTCATTTATGATTATAGAACTTACTCATAATAATCAATGAAAAAACATATGAAACGATTTATATCTCACAAAATGAAAACACCACTGTCGAATCACCTAAAGCAATGAAAAATCAAGAAAACTTAGGGGATAAATGTGCCTCAAAATTCAGAAGGCTTTTCCCCAGTTCATTCAGAATACAATGAGGTCCAAATAGAAAAATGAGAAAAATGTAGGAAAACTCAAAAGAATAAGAAAAAATGACCAAAAAATAATATGCAATTTGTTAAACATCAGAAATAAGCAAACTGAGAAGGCAAATTGCTAACATATCATCTGGAGGCAAGTTTAGAAGGATTAGTAAGATTAATCACAATCCTTAAAATTCCCTTTGAGAAACAATAAATTCTATTTGAAACCTAACTATGGACACAATAACAAAATGTAGAAAAGGTTATAACATTAAATAAAGATTAAAAGGATGAGCAGATAAATGGATAAGGAAGTTGTGGTTCAGTTCAGTCGCTCAGTCGTGTACGACTCTTTGCAACCCCATGAACTGCAGCACGTCAGGCCCCCTGTCCATCACCAACTCCTGGAGTTTACCCAAACTCATGACCATTAAGGAATGAATCTGAGTCAGTTGCTGGGAGGTGGATAAACCTAGAGCCTGTTATACAGAGTGAAATAAGTCAGAAAGAGAAAAACAAACATTGTATATTAATGCATAATATGGAATCTAGAAAAACAGTACTATTTACAGAGCAGAAATGGAGAAGCATTCACAGGGAACGGTCTGGCGGTTACAGCGGGGAAAGGGGAGGGTAGAATAAACTGAGAAAGTAGCATTGACATATATACACTCCTATCTAGTAAAAAAGGTAACTAGAGGGAAGCTGCTATATAACAGGGAGCCCAGCCTGGCGCTCTATGATGACCGAGAGGCGTGGAATTGAGAGAGGCTCAAGAGGGAGTTTTTTATTTTATATGTGTCTATTCTTTCTGACCCCCTGGACTATAATCTGCCAGGCTCCTCTGTCCATGGAATTCTCCAGAAAAGAATACTGAGGCTTGCCTGGAGAATTCCATGGACAGAGCAGACAGATCACTTCTCCAGGAGATCTTCTGAACCCAGAGATCGAACTTGGATTCCTGCATTGCAGGCAGATTCTTTACCATCTGAGCCACTAGGGAAGCCCATACGAGGTACAAAAAATGTAAAAAATGCTGAATTATCAATAATATTTTTAAATTTCATAATATAAAACTCTGTATTTTATATATATATAAAATTGTAACTGACTTGTGCTGATGTACAGCAGAGACCACCACAAAATTGTAAAGCAATTATCCTCCAATAAAAAATAAAACAAAGAGTATCTTTAAAAAGAAGATTAAAAGGAAAGAATTACATGGAAGCATAACATAATAATTGAGGGAGAAAGAAATCATAGTTTTTTATTTCAAGTGACATGGCAAAGTGGAGAGAGAACTTTG